GTATTCATTCAAGGAATCAGATGCTTTTAAATTCTTGATCCGTACTTTTAAAATCCACTGATTGTCAGAACCTGCTAACATTCTTTGTTCAATGTTGAATTCAAAATCAAATTCAAAAATACTTTACTAATCCTAAAAGGAAATAAAATGTTGTTACTCATTAATTAAGATTAAAGTTAAAAAATACATATTTTTTCTTTTCCTGATTGAAACGGGCTGTTGCTTTAAACCCAAGCTATGTACTGAATCCTGATTTCTGCTCCATCCCAGAGTATTAATGATCTGATCATGTTGACTTGGCATCTTTTCCTTCCATGTGATTCTAGGTTTTATAAGTGGTAATAAGTGCAGGAGTGTCTTGATTTATCCACAGCAGAAACAGCATTTCTTTAAAGTAGCATTTTACAGAATATTTAAAAACTTTTCTGTTTTTTAGTTTTGCTTGTTTGGTAATATAACATCAATTGTTTGGTAATGTTAAGATTGATTATTAGTAACCATACATCTAAATATGTTAGAAAAACACACAGACTGTTTCTTTTTTTAAAACAAGCTTCTCAGTGATGATGAGCCAACAGCTTTGAACCGAAGAGAGTTTTTATTTTAGAACAGAATTTTTCATGGATGTGTTTAATATGCAGACTGTGCATGTCTAAATCATTTCCCATCATGTCTCAGGCTTTACTCCTGGAGCCAGGGAGCTGTTTAAACAGGAGAACCACCTGACCCTCTACCAGCTGCCAACCAGAGAGAAGACCAAGGAGTTCACCTCTCGCCGCCTCCCATCCTTCACCAAGCGCCAGCCCCCCATCTCCCACCTCATGTCCCTGTGTGTGCGAGACTCCTCCTCCAGTAAGTCCTGCATGGTGTGTGTGCAGGGCCTGTGCCAGCTGCTTTGTGGGTATAAAAGTGTGTGTGTGTTGTTGCAGACAGCGTCCAGATGCTGTCACATGGTTCAGCTGACCTGATCCTAGAGGCCTGCACTGACTTCTGGGATGGAACTGATATCTACCCCCTGTCAGGCTCAGACAGGTCTGCTTTTGGAGTTTCAGGCTCTCCATCCTGGTATTCACATTTGTTTTTGTCTTTCCGAACATCTAACCTTTTTTTTCCTTCCCCTCTGTGTTACAGGAAAAAGGTTCTAGACTTCTACCAGCGTGCCTGCCTGTCAGGTTACTGCTCTGCCTTTTCCTACAAACCCATGCAGGTGTCACTGTCCGGCCAGCTGAACGGGAAGTGTGTGGAGCTGGCCTCGGGTCCCTGCCTGTTCTCCGGCGTTGAGCTGCCCTCCACCACGCCCATCAAACACAACTTTTGCAGGAACAGCTGGAGCTCAGACGGTGAGGCGTGAGGAACGGGGTGGCGCGGCGCAGGGCCGGGACGTTCAGACCAGCAGGCTGAGGTTCTGATGGACTCTGTGTGTGTGTTTCTGTCAGAGGGGATCGGAGAGGGAGTGGAGCAGGAGGACTGTGTCCAGGCGCTCAGCGGACAGATCTTCATGGGGATGGTGTCGTCTCAGTTCCAGGCCAAGCTGGACACGGTCCGTCTCATCGATGCTCTGGTCACTGCTTGCATCCGCTTTGTGTATTTTTCCATGGAGGATGAACTGCGCAGCAAGGTGAGCAAGCATCTTGGAAGAAGAGTTGGACGTAATGTGAAAGCATTGAGATCTAGAATTGTTCCTCCCATGGTGGCAGCGTGTCAGGTAGATCTGTTCTGTTAGTTATGATCTGACCTTTATGTTGACTTTTGTCTTTTTGGGACAATTATTCATATCCTTATTGGCACATACAGTGTGTTGAAGCTAGGTTGCTGTGGGTTCATTGTGTGTGTGTGTGTGTGTGTGTGTGTGTGTGTGTGTGTGTGTTTGTGTGCATGCATGTGTGCGTGTGTGCAGGTGTTTGCAGAGAAGATGGGTTTAGAGACAGGCTGGAACTGTCACATATCTCTGACTCCAAACGGAGACGGCCCCTGTGAGGGGGCTCCATCCAGCCCGGGACACGGTTCCCTGCACGAAGACCTCCACCAGGGTATGTGGGCTGTGCCTCTCCACACTCTGTGATTTTTTTATTTCTATTTTTTGTGTTCAATGAGAGAGACACTAGCTTACCAAAAATAAGTTTCGGTGCTGCTGCAGGCCAGCAAACCCAGGCTGGTGCTCCGCCCTGCAGTCGGAGACTTAGCAGCCATACGGATGGCTGATCTCTGTTATTACCACTTAGAAACTGGAATGGTTCCATCAGTGACAACAGTATAACAGATCTGTCATCTTCTGAACTGTGTCCATTTTCCTGCGTTTTGTCCTGAAGATTCCCGGGACGAGGCGGAGGGTCCGCTGCTGCAGGAGGAGGAGGCCCAGTCCGACCTGGCCAGCTTCCAGCCGACAGACAGTGACGTGCCAAGCTTCCTGGAGGATTGTAACAGAGTAATCATCACCTCAGTCACATTATGCAGCAGGGCTCATCTTGCCAGACCGTCTGCCTTTGTTGCCAGACGTTCTGTTGGAATGAAACGTTTCAGATCATCTGTAACTGGATTTGTCCAGCGCTGTCCTGGCTCAGGTTGTTGTTGCTGACATGCTGCGCTCCGTTTCAGGCCAAGCTGCCTCGGGGGATCCATCAAGTCCGTCCTCATCTGAAGAACATCGACAACGTGCCTCTTTTAGTGCCGCTCTTCACTGACTGCACCCCCGACAGTGAGTCTTTACCTCCGGGTGTCTGACTGTCCTCACACTTTTTAAGTATCCTTCTACAGACTGAGGAGAGTTTTTAACCTTTACAGTTTCATTCATTTGCATTTTTAACTTAAACACAAAGACGTCAACATCAAAACTAACATCAAATACGGCATATTATTTTATAATAGCATTTTTAATCATTTGAATGAATTGCTTTGATGGTTGAAGTTGATTTGTCCAAGTCCTGGTTTCACAAAAGTAAGAAAAACAAACAATAAAATTCAGTTAATCCTCTGTGACATAAGAGTTGTGCTTTTTGTACCCTGTCTTACACAACCTAAGATAAAAAGATTATAAGAAATAACTTAATATTTTTTCCTAACTAAACATTATTATAAGTGTAGAACTATTTACATTTGATATTGTCTGTTATAGACTTATTGTTAAACACGTAATTCTTACTGGAGGCGGGTTTCCACAGCAGTTCTGTAAAAATCAATAACATTTACTATTTAAATACCTGAACTTTATTTTTCAGTTTCTCCAACAGTCACATGCAGAGCCCTACATTCTCCCCAAAAACATAACCTACTCCAAGTCAAGAATCTAGCTAATCGATGAGCCATTTAGTTTTTGCTGTTTTCAGTTTGCTTCACGGTTTGACGCGTTCTGCTCTGTTAGAAACGTAAGAACTTGGCAAATTAGTCAACCTGTTCGACAAAATGGTTAACAAATCAACCCCACATGTTTTACACAGAGGCAGAGATCAGCACAGATGGAAGGTAGCTTTATGGAAGAGGGCCACAGAAAACACAAGAACTGTAACTTTTTCCTCAGAATTCTGAGGTTAAAGTCGGACTTTGAAAAAAGAAGTCAGAATTTATTTTTTTATTTTTTTTTCTGTAGCTCCAGTCTTCTTCTGTATATATACAGCTCTGGTGAAAATTAAGTTTCAGTTTCTCTGATTTTACTTCTTATTGGTATATGTTTGAGTAAAATGAACACGTCTCTGAAATTCCAAACAAAAATGTGTATTTATTAGCAGAAAATGAAAAATGGTCAAAATAACAAAAAAGATGCAGTGCTTTCAGACTTCAAATGATGCAAAGAAAACAAGTTCATGTTCATTTAGAAAGAATTCAGAAATCAGCATGTGGTGGAATAACCAGGAGGTTTCCAATGGGGTTCAGTGCAGTGGATCTTCAGTTTTTCCAGAGCTGTATATCTTCTGAGTCATCAAGGCCCACTCTGTTATCCATGGGACAAACCAAACTGAAATGTTGTGGCTGGTCTTCCTCTCTGCAGCCATGTGTGAGATGATGAAGATCATGCAGGAGAACAGGGAGGTGACCTGCTGTCTGGGAAGCTCCGCCAACTTCCGCAACAGCCGCCTCTTTCTGCAAAGCGATCTCAGGTACAGAGATCGCTTTCATTCTCAACATTTTTCACAACGTTTCTGAAGCCAAGCATATCAGAATCGTCCCCATCACATCTGCTGATGCCATGTTGTCCACTCTCTGGGCTCCACAGCATTGGGCTGGACCCTCTGTATCCGTCTCAGTGCTCATGGGAGACCTTTGGCTACGCCACAGGAGGAGGTTTCAGCGGAGAGGTTGAAGGACTCTCTCCTCTCAGACTGTCGGGACAGCTGAACAGCCTGGGCTGCTCCGTCTCCTTCCACCAGGGAAACAGCGTTAGCTTGATTAAACTCATAGAGCAGGTTTGTCACATCAAGCAGTCACTGAGTCACATACACATCTTCAATTGATTTTGAATCTGCCTTTGCTGAACTAACTTTCTAGGCACGACACACAACGTCTGGTATCCGCAAGTGCTTTCTCTTCCTGCTGCAGTGCCAGCTCAGTCTGGTCATTCTTCAGGTGGGTCAGTAAACCGCAGGAATGTCAAGCCTGTCTGTGGGATCCACCATCTGAAGTGTGTGTTGTGTTGTTGTACAGTTCTTGGCCTGCCTGGCTCAGCTTCCTCCTCCCATGAACACCACTGACATCCTCTGGATGTCCTGTTTCAGCTGCCCTTTGCTCAGGTACATACACACTCTACGTGTCCATGATGAATCAGTCGCACTAATTGATTTGTCAGATGTTTTAACGCTGGATTTGTTTTGGCAGTGTGTCGCTGTTGGGAAAGCCACCGGACAATTCGGTCATGACAGTTGCCACAGGAAAGAACCTGGATTCAATCCCAAAGAAGGTAGGATGAGCCGAGAGTAGCTTTGCAATATAAAACAAAACTCGAGCTCAGTAATGGTCACGTTTCACTATTTACTGAATTAAACGGGGAAACATGTGCTTCTTTTAGAAAGTAACAAAGTAAGCTTTGTTACTTTCAGTCTGATTATTTTTATTTTTTAAATTTTCTCCTTTTCTGGTTGAAACTTTGCTTTTTTTTGTATAATTGTTCTCTGTGATTTTGGATATGTTGCTGCAGCTGCAATGTCTGCTGATTCTTTTTTTTTTACTGTTGGGTAGTTGTTATGATGTGTAACCATAAGTGTTTTTATAACCTTATAGCTGATCAACATTTTAAAAGCTCAAATAAAACCTGAACTCCGCAAATCTATTGGCAGATTATTTCACTTATAACAAGACATTTTCTCCATATTAGGAGTGAAATATGGACAACTAGTTTTTCATCAATATTGGGGAATTACTGACTTAAAACAAGCCCTTTGCAGTTTGTTGAAAAGTTACTTAGAAGTTAGTTTTGTCTTATTTTTGCACCAGAATCACTTAAGCTAACTATAACTGTAAGGAGATGGTTGGATGAACCTGTAGAAGATTCAGGGCTGTTTGAGGTTACTGACTGGGACGCTCTGTGCCAGCCACATGAACAGACTGACTGTCATATAAACGTCTGTGTGAACATCACCATCAAAACCAGAACACTGAGACGGCTTCCCAGTAGAGCACCGATGGAGGGACAAGGGATTTATTAATTAAAGTAAAAATTAAAAATTATAAACAGTAAGGAGAAGCTGGAGAGCAAACTACAGAGAAACGGTATCAGAGATGTGTGTGTGGTCAGTGATGAAGAAGATCACAGGCTTTAAGCAGGAGGAGGATCAACCCTGAGCATCCTCTTCATCAGACTGTCATACAGCTAGATGGTGTCTTCAGTCAGAGGCTTCTTTAGGTAGGATGGTTGTAATCAGGGGTGAAAGTAGTTTTAAATTCTTGGGGGTTCTATGACAAAAGTGTGTGTGTGTATGTATGTGTGCGTGTGTGTGTATATATATATATATATATATATATATATATATATATATATATATATATATAAAAATTCCTTCTTTGTGTGCTTTGGAGTTTCTGTGCTGATGAAATTTTTGCGAAGCGATAAAAGCTGTGCATCTCTGGAATTACTTCAAAATGGAGCTGTATTTCCTTCAGCCCACTGGCTCCAGTTTTGGCACCGCGAGATGCAGTGAGATCTAAATTCTGAACATAGTCTTCCACATCGGGTTGATGGGGAAACAGGTCCAGAAGGGAACCACAGACATCTCTCCCAGGCCAGACTAGACACATAGACCATCTTCATCAGTTCATTTTAAATCCTGCATCGTATTCAAAAACAATCTAATTTTTATTAATAATGTCACCAAAAGCTGCTAATGCTGCTCATCTGATGGAGACATAAGAGAGAAGCTACTATTCTTTTAAAAACAGATATAAACATTTGTTTACCAGTTGGTTTAATAGTTAAAATACAAGAAAAGTGAAAAACCAACAGACTCGTAACCAGTTTACAGTTTAGAAATGGACTCTTTATCTCTTTCCCGGCTATCAGCTATGTGGGCTGCTGACGCTGTGCTCCTGTTGGTATCAAGCTCTCAGTTACACAGAAAAAGCTGGAAGACATTACGTTCTGTCTATTGTTTACGTTTCCACACCGTACAGAACAAATGTGTTCAACTGGGTCGTTTACAACCCATCAAATGTGGAGCAGCAGCATCATTTTTTTGGGATCATTCTTTATTCTATTTCTATGCTAACGTGTAAAATTATTAAACCAAAATTATTTCTTTATAGCTCTTCTCCAAGCAGGCAAAATTTCTTGTCACAATTTACAACAGCAGCAGCAAATGTTTGTAAGTTACATTTAATTTTACTTTTAAGATATTTTTAAGTACCCGCCTACTTTCACCCCTGGTTGTAATACAGACTGCTACAGGAGGTCCTTCCTGTCCACAGCTGCCAGCATTAACAACTCGTTGAAGAAATCTGGATAATGGGAGTTACAATTCCTCATTTCCTGTTAATAATAATAAAGTATCTGAATAGAAATGAGTTGAGGGCAGAGGCAGTGCTGGAACTGGTTTTAATCTGACTGAATAAAAAAGCAACAAGCATGCTTTGGTTTGACAGAAACATCTCATTCCATCAAAACTCTTGTAAAAGTTTTTCCTACACAAAAAGTTTCCAGATTGTTTCCCAATGAGCCTGACTGTTTTCTTCTTCTCCTGTCCTTCCAGACTCAGAACTACTTCCTGGGCTGTTTCTTCTTAAAGTTTGGTCTCTCAGTGTGTGTGTACCTGCTGGTGTTCGGCTTCACCCTGCAGACTGTGTGCCCTGCTGGCACCAACCTCACCCTGAGTAACGACTCCATAATCAAGTGCAGCTCCATCTTCACAGCCAGGTATGTAACAAGAGATGGATCAGTAATAAACAGGAAATATCAAACATATCTGACTTCTATGTGTGTGTGCGTGTGTGTGTGCGTGTGCGTGTGTGTGTGTGTGTGTGTTTGCAGCTCATCACCACAGCCTCTGGTGTGGTTTGGTGATCTGTCCAACGGCCTGCTGCTGACTCAAAAGCTACTGGCTGGTTTTCTGGTGCTTCACACAGGTGGGGCGACATGGACGCAAAGTTTTTCCACCATATTTAGTGATATTATTGTGATAATAATAAAAGTGACAATAACAACAATTTATTACTTCTTTTCTACTGCATGGCACAGCAGTCAGACAAAAACTTAAATGATGCTCCTGAAAAAATGTCAGCATTACTGATCAGCTGCTTTAGGTCACCAGTCACATAACAAAGTGATTTGTATCACAAAGCTCCACACAGTAACTGTTCAATAAATATCAGTACATTTGATAATATGATTAAATGCAAACAGTGCAGAAAATACTAAAACTAAAAATTCCAGCAATGCGGACAGTTTTATGGGGTTTCAAACTAATTTAGATTGGTTTATTGTGACAATAAATCCAAATTTTTATCATTAGGAATTTATCGCGATAAAAATGCTAAGCGATACAATAAATGCCCACCACTGCACAAGGGGGCAGCCTAGCTGGTGTTCTTTGTGCATTTAGAGTGTTGCTGTTGTTTTCAGTGGTCATCTCCCTCAGCTACGTCCATCGCTCCCAGCCTCTGTGGAGGAAGACTCCCTTCAACAACACCTGGTGGTGCCTCACTGTGCCCGTGGTGTAAGTCCTCCTCCTCATGTCCAGCACATACACAGTTCCTCTTGACATCAGTTCCTAACCTGCTCATGTGTCACCAGACTGCTGGGCCAGGGCGTTCAGGCCACGGTGGACTACCAGCTGTGGAGGGACCAGAGCAGCCCTCTGACCTTCAGCTTGGCTAACATTCCCCTGGAGGTGTGGCTGCTGGCCTCCCTGTCCCCGCTGCTGGTAGTGCTGGTCAACGAAGTGGTGAAGCTGCATGAGATACGGTACGTTGACACCAGAACCAGAGCGTAGACACGGCCCAGTAAACGCAGCATGTGCAGAAGAGGTGGATTTGGAAATGAAGGGCTAACGGAGATGTGGATACATAAAAACCAAAAAAAACAAAAAAAAAAACGGCTGGAATACAAAGACAGAGCGGAAGGGCTTAGCAACGTTTAGTTTCCCTCTAGGATTCAAGTAAAACATTTTGATTTAAACAGCAGCAGCAATGGAAAAGTGTCTGTTAGCGACATGAAGTCAGACAAAATACTGTAAAAAAAAAAAAAATCTGAAAACAAGGTTTAATATCCCGCTTTTGTTTAAAAACAGAAATAGCATATGTTTATAAAATCCTGTAAAACAGTTGTTTTTATTTTTTTTTATTTTGTTTTCTAACCATGCATGGTTTTCTCAAAAACAAAAAAATCGCAGGGTTCTGCTCACCTCCATCACGGCAGCTCATTTCTCTCTCTGCTTTCTACAGGGAACGGGTTCGGTACCAGAAGAGACAGAAGCTGCAGTTTGAAACCAAACTTGGGATGAACTCACCTTTCTAAAGCCCTTCCTCCAACCACCCCCTCCCCCTCCTCAGAGGATGAAGATGTTCTGGCAGCTCTGGGCGGCTTCCCTCCAGAAACCAGCAGCAGCCCCTCTGCTCCCCCTCCAGGGAGGAGCAGGTATCATGGTGGACAGTGGCGCTGGTTGAACTGCTGCTGCTGCAGCTGGGCGAGCCAGAGCCGGGGCCGGGGCCGGGGCTGGGGCCGGACCTGCGGCGCCTCAGTGTGGTTGTAGAGGCATGAGGAACGCTGTTGGACATGTTTACTGTATATCCCCAGGTTCCGCTCAGTTCTCCACCACCAGGATCCATGTGCATGTTCTCCAGGAATGCTCCACATCACGTAGAGCGCTGCAGCTGACATTCACCTCATCACTGTGTATCATAGTTCATCATTCTTCACAAAAACATGGCGTCCTTTTTTTTTCTTTTTTTTTTTTTTACCCTTTTTTAAATGTAAATGTAGGGCTAAAAAAAAAAGCAACAAAAAAAAAACAAAAACGGCTGAAACTATGGAGCCCCAATGTGTGCAAAAATCTCAGAGAAATGGCCTAAAATAAGCTGTGGAGAAAAATGGTAATCTAAGGAATTGGAGAATATTTAGTATAAATCCTGAACTATTTCTCAATAACTTTTATTTTCTCAATAGCTTTTATTTCATGTCTTGGATTTTTAGTTGACTTCTTTACAAACATGATATGAACGGTTTCCCTGGAGACCTCCTCAGCCAATCACTGGCTTCACTTGAGATCATCATGGTCACCTGAGCTGACCAGCATGCACCAGCACAGTTCAGCAACACAATGCCATGAACCCAGCTACTGGTTAGAGTTCTCACTACTGCTGTTAAACAACCACTTACAGTGAAAATAAAATGTTGGAGATCATATCGTTTGTCCCTATGTGTCCGTCTGTCCCAGGGTGCCCGTCTGTCCCTGGGTGCCTGTCTGTCCCTGGGTGCCTGTCTGTCCCAGGGTGTCCGTCTGCAGCATGTCAGAGTGTTTGGTGCATGCAGTCCCCATGTACTGCCACACAATAGGTTTGATACATATATACACATATACATATGTATAAACATATAGATATGTAGATATGTGTATATGACAATTGTAGAAGATCCAAACAAAATTTTCTTTAAAATAATATATATATATTTTTAAACATACCTGTTACATCTGACATTTCTTGTTCATTTCGTGGTTGCTATACTGGCTTGAGGAACAAAGCAGCTTCATAAATTTGACTGGCAGCCAATCAGAAAGATGAGCATGCCAAATAACATTTCAGCAAACAACGGTATTTAAATTTATACTTTTTAGTAATTATTGATAAAGAGATGAAATTTTATGATTTAAAAAATTCTGATTAAAAAATGTATTATTTTGGGTTTTTTGTATTCCAGTTATTCATCAGAAACCCAGTGGGATTTGTTCCGTTTAGCTCAGTAACCGGCTAACTGCTAGCCGCTATTAGCCATTACGACATTAAAGGAGCATGGGCATAATGTGCGCTAACAGATTTGCCACAGACTTTATGGTGCAACGGCAACCATTTATTACTGCAGCTGTCACTATTGCAGTAGTGTTGCAGCCATGTTGATTTTGAGTTTGGGTCAGTGTGAAAATCTTTCCAGCCTCACAGGTTAGAGTTTCCAGTCCAGTTTTTCCAACTTTAGAGTCCGAATCGAGCCAGTTCAATCCCATAATTCTTTGTTCTTCAACCACATGAGAACTTCTGCTGTCTGCATGTCCAGTCCAGTTTGTTGTGAACTGTTTCCTGCAGCTGTTGCTGAATGTTCTGAAACGTAGGAATCTGTTGGTGGTTGAAAACACCCAAACCTTGCATTGGAAGTGACAACTTGCCATAAAACCTGAATTTTATTTATTTTTTTACTGCTTTATGTTAACATTGGGGTTTCATATAAACGAGGCTGTCACTACCTCGAAAAACATCCTGATCCACAAGCTTTTCTCTCTGCTGCGTTTGGATCCAGATTGAGTTGTTTTATTCATACCTACATTCAGCCAAATCTTCTACATTATGACTTTGCTCTTTGCTGATGGATGTTTGTGCTGAATTTCCAGATTCTTCTAGATGCATTTTATGCCTCAGTTGCTTCAGCCTCTAGTTTTAATCTAAATCTCAGCTGAAGGATCTCAACTTATAGAAGTCAATTTTATGTTGCAGAGATTTAATATCTGAATTGGCTAAAAAGCATTCAGAGGTTCTGGTCCTATAATAATCTAAAAATGTTTGATTATTAGTTAGAGCGCCAAATCGATAAACATCTATATCCTTGGTGATCTCTTTCAACCAAACCAGCCTAGTGGAAACGGTCTGACTTCGCTGCTGTTTCTTACACTATTCTGTAGACAAAAAAGAACGATGAATTCCAAAATCAGTGCCTCAATGACAAGCAAAACGATTTCATCAGGATGTGAATCTGGGAAAGCCAGCCTGGTCACAGTGGGGTCACGACCACACGATGGACCGGAGCATCAACCTGAGAGCAGATCGCTCCATTACAGTCTTCAGAGCAGACAAAACAATACTAACTTTAAAGAGTTAGTCTTTAAAATAAGTGTCACAAATACAAAAACACACACACAAAGCTCCTGACCTTGTTGGAATGTGACAGAATGCTGTTAGCTTGAATTTGATCATTTTATTTGTAAATCTTGCCATAACTATATGTTGGATTTCATGCAGAGGTTTTAAAAACACTGACAGAACTGTGAGACTTAAATAAAAGCCTGAAGCCAAGCAGCCTGGTGTGTGCTGGTCGTCTTCCTCTGATGGTCACTACTGGTCACACTGAGGTCAGGGGTTTCACTGAACTCATCAGTTATTTTACATATATTATACAGGCTTTCTGAAAAGTTTTCATACTTTTTGTCTTGATAAAAAATAGAAAGCAAAACTAATTATTGGTAGCTGGAAACTTTTCCATTTTACTGAAAGTCAGCAGGAGTTTTTGTGAAAGAAGTTTATTCGAAATTCGAAATGTTTTTAACGTAAAAACAAAAACAGAAGAAAACTTCTGTATTTTTACTGTTTGGTTGTTCTGCATGAACTGAGGTGCTTCCATAAGGACAGTCAATGTACATGTTGTAGATTTGAAAGTGTATATTCAGACAGATTTGTTTGTTTCGATTATATCTGAGAATTAAATGGTTCATTGGTAAAGGACTCGTGTTTTTCTGTTGTGTGAAGAAAATCATTTCCTTCAACTTTCTGAGAAAAAGGATTTCTGAGCGTCGGACGTCATAAGCTCTTTATTCAGTGTAAAAGTCCGATTTTACAAAAACCACCAGATAAACTTTCACAGCCATGCGTAAAACAGTTTGTAACACAAGGAAAACAAAGAAAACCTTTCATTATAGTTGGTCCAAACAGTTGGCTTTATTTACAAAGTCTATCAAAGCTTTATTTATCACAGCACAAATTTACTCAACTAAATTTAAATTTGTATCCAAAATAGATTTTTTTTTTACCCCATAAACCATAATCTGAACACACAATTATCTTCTGACAGTAACAAGACAATATGTCATTCTTATCAAATATAAATATATATTTATTTATATATATTTATATATAGCACCACTATATCATGATTTTATTTGAGGGCTATTACATACAAAAGACCCGTGTTAGTATCTGGAGGGGGAGTGGGGCAGGGAGGACCACCAGGGACGAGTTCAAGGGAAACCCATCAACACCAAGAGAGAGTCAATCACCTATAAACAGTCAGTCGTTACCGGTTCTGTAGAAATCTGTCAAAAACTCATTTGCAGTTGACTTTCTTGTTCAAAATTTAGCTTCTAATTTCAAAACATTTCAATGAAACCTTTAAACTGCAGAAAAGCAGGCCTGAGCTTCCCATTTCCAAAAACAGTTGTCAGTTTTTGGTGGGGTTGGACTTCCAGATGCTCCTGACCAGACACCGACTGGAGGACGACCAACAACATCTAGAACCCTGGACAGGGACGGTGTGTCCGGGAGGGAGCAGGGGGGCTGCAGCTCAGCACGTCTGTACAAAACCTTATGCAAATGAGTTCAAAATCATCACTTCCACGTCGTCGTCCTGCACGGCTGACCATGAACAGCAGGGTCGGGCTAAGACCGGAGCGTTGACTTATCTACAAGAATCATTTCCTAGATCTAACAGTGATGTTCTTTTCTCCTCCTACTTTAGCAGCAGCAGCTTTTGGGACCAAAACATTAATGCTTTCATCCTACCTCAATCAGAACTAACGTGCAGCGATTCACACTCTTTTCTTTTATTGCTCATTTAAAAGCTGTTTCACATGAGCTGCATCAGGAAACCACAGATCCTCCAGGGTCGGCAGACCTGAGGCAGAAAGTTTCCTAACCAAATCCAACCGTGACTCCAGCGCATTCTGTTATCACAAGTCTTAAAGGAGGTGATCTCCTTTAATAAATATTAAACCATAAAATCATTTGGAATCATTACAACCTCTTTAAATTATTGCTGAAAGTGTAGATGGGTCATTGCATCTGGTTGTGTGTTTTTTTTTCTTAACTAAAAACAGAGAAAGGTTCAGTAAACAAACTCCAAGCTTGTCTTGGTTCTAAAGTTCATCTTAAATGTGATTAACAGTCATTAGGTTGTGATTGTGTCGAACCAGATTTGATGATGTTGCTTCTCCCTCAAATTCACAAACATGCTCTTCTATCTGAATAACATTTAGATCACAGAAGTCAAATATTGTCCACACTAATGACAAAAAGAGTAAAAGTTGCTAAGTGCAGGTGCACCGATGGCTCAGACCTGCCCTTCATTCATATCTACATGACAAATGGATCATAACTACGACCAAAATCTGAAAGTGAGCCACTGTCAACTTCATCCTCTGCACAGGTCATGTCTGCACATGCTCAGTTAGCAACACCACACTGTTGCTAACTGAGCTACTTTCCAGAAAAGAGACAAAAAATAATTTGAAATTGGTATTTATGCCAAAAACTGACTCAACAAGTCAGGCTTCTTAAATATCCATGATCGACCAGAAAACTGCAATCGGTGCACCCTACTGCTAACATAACTGTAACTGATACAAAAAACTGAATTCTAGTCAGATTTAGCAGAAAGAGAATTTGACTTGGATTAACTGACAGTGGAGGGGCTGACGCATCGGTTCACTGCTTTGGCTCCAGAGAAGAATAGTGAATATGAAAACGATTTAAGTTCCCAAAACCCTGCAGATCCTGAACCCCTCCTCCCCCACCCACCACCACCACCACCACCCTGGTCCAAAACTGCAGCTACAGCTGCAGCTAAAGGAACACATCCTGAGAAGTGACTCTGAGCCTACGTCTGGACCTTCTACCATCTGCCCTGCATCTCCATCCGGCACCGATTACTTGGAAACCCCTGAATAATCACAGTTAGAAGCTTCTGTTAAGACAATCTATTCCTTACATCTCTATAATGATCTGAGAGGCTCCAGCTGGGATACATTTTATTTCATATAACCAAACAATATAAGCTCTGGTATTGCATAACATTGACATGAGACGACCTGGTATGCAGAAGAAGGAATGGATGCGTTTGGTGTGGATCACTAAGGGATCAGGATGTGTTTGCATATGGCTGCCATCATCCAACTCATCCTGTGGTTGATCTGTTAGCTGTCAGCATCACGAGGTAGAAGATAAACAGCTGCTAAGGTCTAGCTTAAACAACCCAACAAGTCCCATCTTACTATGTATATATATATTTATATTTATATATCTGTGTAGACTGTATGAATGTGGAAGTGGAACTCTGTGTGTTCCTGCCTGTGGCCTGGACTGCAGGGGAAGCAGTGCATCATGTCATTCTGTGGCTCAGATCTCACACACAGGAGCACAGAAAAAAACAAAACAAAACACTAAATATTACCCAGATATTAATAATGATCATAATGAAAACAGCTTCTTTAGAGGGCTGCGGGATCGTTCCGGCCTGAGCGGAAAGGTTCCTCAGTAGAGCGCATTCAGTGTTTAATCAGTAAATAAACAGTAAATGAGCCGACTCCACAGGAGCAGCGCAGCTCCCCCCCAAACACGTTCCGTTCCGGTCTGATCACACTGCTGCCGCTACTAAGACCGTCAGCATCAGACTGAGGGAGGGCGGCTGGCAGCCTGTTCCCATGGAAACATCATGCAGAGTTGGCAACAACACATTGGAAACACAATGGAATGAGCTGAAGGGTTTTTGGGGATTCAGAACATTTTGAGGACCTTCAACCAAAAAGTTTCCCTCAGCTTTTGTTGACGTCCTACCGACAAGCTGGTTGTCATGGGAAACCAGCGTTTGTCTTACGAATGAAAGGAAGAGGTTTTGTTGAGGGGAAGCTGCTGGGACTGAAACTGGCTAAACTTTGATCAGAAATCTACAAGCTGGAAGAGATTTACACGCTGCGCTCTGTGGAACAACGCTGAGCTGGAAACACAAAAAGCTGAAGAGTAATGCTGAGCTGCACTGGACCTCTACTAATCTGTTTTATGTACATCTGGAACCTGGATTCCACAGACCTCTGAGTAAAAAAAAAAAAAAAAAATTAAAAAAAATTAAGGAACAACAAGTTACATTTCCCACACAGCCACTGAAGAAGTTAATGCAACAAAACAACACAAAAAAAAAGAACAACCCCAAAAATAGTAGAAAATCAAATCTTCAAGTACTATAAACAAACCAAACCCCGCCTCTCCGTACTGCTCCAAAGGAAAGGTCTCTGTCGTCTGCCAAAAACCAAAAACCAACCAAAGCAACAACAACTGAAGCCCTGGCTCAGTGACAGCTGCTCAGTGAGTCTGTGGGTCGGGTCGGGTTGGAGCCCAGAGCTCTGGTACCCACAGCTGCCGGGCAGCAGCAGCTCAGACATGTTCCCGTTTGGGTTTCTCAGTAATCCTGGAGCCGGTCCGATAGGCTTCCAGATCCATTTTGTCTCTTCCTGCTGGGGCCCCGTCTGCTTCCTGTCGGGGGCCCCCTCATGGCTCCTGTTTGATGTAGTAGCTGCCCGAGCCGTTGCTCTCTTGGTCCGAGGTTCCCTGGGTGAAGGTGAACTCGTCCCCGTCGGCCGGGTCCTCCTTCATCCGCAGCAGAGACTCTGCAGAGAGAGCAGGGATCAGACACATGCTGCTGCACATGCAGCTCACTGCAAAAACACTAAATCTTACCAAGTATTTTTGGTCAAGTTTCTAGTGCAAATATCTTAGTACACTTGAAATAAGAAAAATAATTTACAGGTAACTTTTCAGCAAGATCCAGGAGCTTGTTTAATTCAATAACTCCTTAATATTGATGAAAATGTACTAGTTCCACTGGTGGATTATTTCACTTATAACAAGACATTTTTTTCATAAGTCAAATAATCTGCTAAGGGATCTAGTACTTTTTTGTCAATATTAAGGAATTATTGACTTAAAACAAGCTCTTGTATCTTTTGGAAAAGATACTTGTAAAATAGTTTTGACTTACTTCAAGTGTACTAAAACATTTGCACTAGAAACTTGACCAAAAATACTTGGTAAGATTTAGTGTTTTTGCAGTGCAGGCGCTCCACCTGCCCCCTGGAGGTCAAACACTGAGAACATCATGTAAAAAAGAAGTAAAAGGTTTTCTTAAAGGGACCAGCGACGGGTCCAACCAGAGACATGCAGCAGCAGCTGCCTGTGTCTCCACACAGAGGCCCCGCCTCCCGAGCCTCTGGGGCTCCTGGCCCATCTCATGTAGTCAGTAGTGTGCCATTACCTGATTTGTGGATGGGGTGCAGGTGTGCTCGGGGCCGAGCGGGCCCCTGGATACAGTAAATGGGCGGGCTCTGCTCTTCGTCTCCTGAGAAGCTGCTCCTCCTCCTGCCTGACTGACTGAAGGGCCGTCGACCAACCGGAATCTTCCTCTCTAAACACCAACCAGACTGGGGTCAGCTACCAGGGGCTTATTGCACACAGGGCTCAGTTGAGCAGTTCAGTCATGAACCAAGAAGGAAAGTAAAAGGTTAGAGCTCAGGATGCGACCTTCAACGAAGCACTGCTGAGACGTTCATCCACTCTCCCATCTGAATAAGCCCCTGGTGAGCTGCTCTCACTGCCACCATTCATGTCCCTCCTTCTACTTTTGCATTCTCTGTCCTTCCTTGCACCCTTCTGTCCTACTCCTTTCTCCCTCCCTTGCACCTTTTGCTTCCAGTGTGTGATATTTGCAGAGTCCATATTTAAATCCTGCCCACTATGAACTACCTCAGGGTTTCCCTCAGTGTATTATCAGCCTGGCGGGCCACCAGGCTTTATTTGCCTCCCCACCAAACTAAGTGTTTGTTTTGCATAGGCTTGTTTATACACCAGTAGCAGTCAAGACAAAATAATTTAGGGTTACAGTTGGCACACTGAACTGGGTATGCACCATCTTGGCAGCTGACCTGGTCATAGTTAGGCTGCCTGGCTGGTGTGTGTGCACGGGTTTGTTTGTAATACCTTGTGGGGACCATTTTCCTGATACATACTATGTTGTGGGGACCCACAAGGCAAGGGGAAAACAGTGTTTCCCCTTGTGGGGATCGAAGCCTGGTCCCCTCAAGTTTGAGAATTTTCACTCTCGAGGTACGTGGGCCCAGGGGAAACACTGTTTTTGGGTCAGAGCTTAGATTTAGGACTAAGGTGTGAATTGAGTTTTGGTTAGGGTTAGGATAAGGGCAAGGCTTAGGCTGTAGATAGCCACGCAAACATATATGTGTGTGTGTGTGTGTGTGCGCACGCATGCGTATGTGAACAGACGGATGGGCTGTTTCAGTGAGAGCTTTTTTAAAATCAGGATTGAATAGCTTCTTTTAGCACAACAATAGGCTTTTCCAACATCCAAGACGAAAAAACAAATGGAGTCAGCCTGACCAAACAACCGTCCTCTGAACTGGCTCTCTGTGTCAGCCTGGGAAGGCTGGCCATCTCAAATTCTCCTGGATGTTATATAAACCTCTAGGCTATCTGCTGCTGGTTCCCTTCCCCATGATTTCTGTGGACCTGACCCAACGCTCCACAGAGGCTGGCTGACCAACGTGCCCACTTATCAAGAACAATGCTTGGGGGGGTAGAGGGCAACTATCTGGGACAGTGTTCACAGCCTTTCTTACAAACACACACATAAGCACACGCACCCATACTTGCATAGCAATAAACACCTCCCAAATCTCCTCTCTCGTGTGCAGAAGTTTTTTTTCCCTCCTTCAGCCAAAGAAAAAGGAGGGAAAACAACAGAGGAAAGCAGGAATTCACACAGAAACAGCACACAATCCCACCACCAGTCTTGTCATTAATTTTAGTGTATTTAGGTTTGATCTTATTTTACTCCTCTAAACTTTCTTCTCATCACTTTTGGCCAAACAGCTGAACATTTGTCTCATTTGAACATCAAACTCTCCTCATACATTTATTCTCATCAAATGAAAGGGTAGCTCTTCCCATGATGGCTGCAGCCTCAGGCACCCGTCTACCCAGGCCTGCTCATGCATCTCAGATTTTTTTTTAACTGAACATTTTTTAACATAAAGACCCAGTGGGCCATTGGCTCTAGCGCCCCTACATCGGGTTCCGCAGGTTTTCTGGGGGAAACTCTGTACCTGAAATATATTCAATGGTATTCTTAATTTGAAAAAGGACTCAGAGGATAGGAAACTCTGGAAGATGTAAAGTTCGAGCCCACAGCACAGGTACCTGTTACTGCACATTGTCATGATGACGTTCCAGAGTTACACACTGACTGAAACACCCAGCAAATTCAGGAAAACAATCACAGCGCATCACGACAGAAGATTCAAGGTAGCTGCACAGAACTCTGAAGTAGAGGCTCATGAAGGAAGCCCAGCAGGTGGTGCACTGAGACATGAGCGACAGCCTCCAACTGTTTAGTCAGTTTATTTTCCCTAAATTTATTTTTTTTTCTGAGACATTTAGTGCAAAATGTAGCTCGTATGTGAACAGCAGGGACCACTGAGCAAAGTCTGGTCAAAAGCGGCTCCAACACCGAGTTTCAGACATCAGTATGATGGGATGCTATTGCAAAAATGATCATTCCTCTGAATTTAATTCATTACAGTTAATTTCATTTTTTTATAAAAATTTTCAATTCCAGTTTGTTTCCATGGATACAAAGAATAAACTTGCATAAACATCAGCAGTATGGTTCTAAAAAACAATTTCTACCCTGATTCAGTAGAAACTTCAAAGTCGTTGCTTTCATGTCATCCATCCATGACGTTCACATCTGTATGGACTTCAGCTGACATCTAAAATGTCTCAGTGATAATAAACCAGCAGCTTTACGCTGGATTCTCCTTCACAAAGCTTCAGCCTCTCTCTGTGTCACTATTTACAGTCACTGCATTTGACTGGAACTGGGATTGTTTTTTTTTGTTTGTTTTTTTTTTACATATTGTATATTTTTATCAATGCCTCACCCACAGTCTGAATGCTGCATAATTAACCAAAAAGATGAAGAAATAAAACCAGAACCACTTTCTGGACTAACAGCAACAGGAAGACATTTGTCCTGAGTACACATTAGCATCTGTTCATTTAGAAAGTTCCGATTTCCTTTTTATTTTATGTTGCAGCTTTAATCCAAAACAGCTTCAATTCTTTTTTCTCTTTAAAACTCTACATGTAAAAAAGGTCAACATGAAAAATGCAATACAATCTTTGTTGCCATTGTAACAATGAAACATTGCACAATAAAATTTGAGTGCAATTCTCCAGATAAAAACGGTCTCATCTGAAAAAAATGACTAGATAATTACTTATGTTGCACTTATCCCTAACTATTTCCTGACCATTTTAAAAAGCTAAAATAGTCAGCTTTCTGACTATTTTAGAAAGCTGACAAGGTCGTCTTGTGACCTTGTTGACTAATTGGGAAAAATACTTTAAAAAAAATCATTTTGACCAGAAAAACATCGTCATCAGGATCATCATCATCAGCAGCAGCAGCAGCTCTTGTAAACGGTAAATGGACTGAACTTATATATAGCGCTTTTCCAATCATTTT